TCAAGCATATTTTTCAGGAGGAGACAAGCAATATGAACAATATAATTATATGAAGCATGGTTATATTGGAAAAATTAAAACAAATAAGTTACAAAAAATTATTGTTGTTGGGTTGTTGTCTCATTGACATATACCATACATCTCTTTAAAAACGAAAAAGATATCTAAATGTAAAGACTGGGTTTTTGTCATGTTCTATACAATACGCGAATTTCTGAATAGCCCGAGTCCAAGATAGATTTATAAAAATGAACTACCAAAGGCGCCATCTGCAAAGTAGGTCACCAGAGATGAATTGCTGTAAGAAGATAATGTTGGTTGGACATTTATTTCATATGCAACAGTCCAACCACGGAGCTATGAAAGAGTCCTTCTGAAATGTACAGTATGGAATTTTTCCTACAAAAGGTATCGGATGTAACATCCCCACTCTGACCGGAAGTTACTGCATATTTATACATTCCGCAGAGCCAAACGGAAACCAATCTTTTGCATTGGTTTTACTGCCGGAAAGTAGCAGTCATATAGACCATATTTCTATACTACAGTCAATCTTTAGAGTTTCGAACTAACAAAGATATGTACATACTATATAAAAAAGTTACCAACACATCACAATACATAAAATAAGGAATGTTTTTGACTTATTTTGCGTTGTTGGGTTGATGTCATACAGATGTATTTCACACACATTTAAATTATAATATTTACACAATATGTTACTAAACGGAACGATAGTTTCTTCATCCTTTTATAAAAGGGGCGTAAGTTTGATGAAGTACAGAATTTCAAATAAACGGTTCATGTCATTTCAAGCTGAAATGGTATATTATTAAAGTATGTAAGAAGGCTACTTTAAAAATAATTGCGTATGCATTTTGTGTTAGGAGTGTTTGATAAAGAGATTATGACACAGCAGTCACGATTTGAGATAAGGAATGCCACAAAACTGATGTGGAATACCGGTATTATGTGTAATTATCTATAATTTTCAATTGTACTTTTAATATATTAAATACATAACTTTATGCATACTAGTAATCTAAAACAATTTCCCTACAAAACGTATTTCATATAAAGAGGATAAGTATTGTGACATTTTATATCAAGTGTCGGAAACGCAAATATAGTGTACTTGAATAGAGTTGTCTCATTGGCACTCATACCACATCTTCTTATATCTGTTAATACACTTTGGCTTCGGAGATACCTTTCTATTATTAAACATGTGTTGAATGTACACATCTTTAGGATACAGGAATAGTTTTAACAGGAAAAGAAGGGTATTCATAAATAGTGTTGTTCCTTAAACACTTTAAACACACACTTAAAGTACTTATAGAAGGTGAAGTTGTTTACACAATTACAGTTGATCCTTAATCTTCAAGACGTCTGTTTAAACAAGTACTATCTTTGAACAAAGATATCTGACGCATTCAGATGTGAGCATAGAGTTTAAAACAAACCACGAATCTATATCCGTTTTTTTTTTATCATAGTTAAAAAACACACAGTTTGACGGCTAATGACTGATGATTATTAAAGTTGAGTATTACATATACTGGAACTTAACTAAATGTATATTTAGGTATTTTTTCAGAGATAAAGAAGAACCTGGCTGTGAAATAGACATAAACATAATATATTATTAGGTAACAATCTGTAATGAATAATAACTTGTTAGTTTTCTCAATTGAATTGTTTCATATTTTTCATGTCGGGGCATTCTATAGCCGACTATACGGTATGGGTTTTTCTCATTGTTGAAGGCTGTACGATTGCCTATAACTGCTTACAACCACTTTATTTGAATTTTGGTGGATAGTTGTCTCATTGGCAATCATACTTATTTTTATACTGAAACAGTTAAGAACCACGAAGAAATGTCAATCATAAGTATATGTTAAGCACAACTTTAACAATTAGCGATACAACCTATTTCGGTGTGTATATCGGGGACTGACGGACGCCAATAGATGATCTTTTGACAAGTAATTAAATTTGCGATATATGTATTTTGACATTCTTTATTTCAAGTATGATATTTTGTACTCTTTGAGATTATTATTACGTCTTGGAAGATTTAGTCTAAGACTGCATTTGCAAGTACACAAAGTCGATGAGATATATTCATAGCACTCGAGCTATTAATAGCCTAATTGGCCAGCATTAGCTTCAACAGTAGATCTAATGAACCTGTCAGTGATATTAACTTGCTCATGCATTTAAGGCTAAGCCTACAAATCCAAATAATTTAACAGTGGTTTAATGACATCTGCTTTGGTTGAATTTATTAATTTATCTGGATAATTTCATTTTTAAGTTTGATTTTATGTCCGTAATGTTTTCCTTTTATTGTACCATATATCTTATTTTGTTGGTTTTTCTTCAATTCCGTAATTTCGTCCAATCAGAGTAAATATTGGTGACATCATGCATGCCGTTACCATAGTTACGCGTCCTTAGGTCACAAACCAAAATTATTATTGACTGCGTCAGTAATATATTCAATTTATAAGCCAAATTTTATTGTGTGGTTATAATGTTATCAATTAATAGGAAAGGGATATGGGGAAAGTCTCACACTTTTTATACGACCGCAAAAATTAAAAATTTTTTGGTCGTATATTGGTATGACGTTGGCGTCGTCGTCGTCCGGCGTCGTCGTCGTCGTCGTCGTCGTCGTCGTCGTCGTCTGGCGTCGTCCGGCGTCGTCCGAAGACACATTGGTTTTCGCACTCTAACTTTAGTTTAAGTGAATGGATCTCCATGAAATTTTACCATAAGGTTCAATACCACGAAAGGAAGGTTGGGATTGATTTTGGGGGTTATGGTACTAACAGTTAAGGAATTAGGGGCCAAAAAGGGGCCAAAAATAAGCATTTTGTAACTTCCAGACAATAACTTGTGTGTAAGTGTATGGATCTCTCTGACATTGTACCACAAGGTTCCATATCACAAAGGAAAGGCTGTAATTGATTTTGGGGGTAATTGCCTCAAAATTTTAGGAATTAGGGGCCAAAAAAGCGGTCAAAAACAAGCATTTTTTTAGTTTCATGACAATAACTTGTGTGTTAGTGTTTGGATATTTCTGAAATTGTAATACAAGGTTCCATATCACAAAGGGAAAGCTGGAATTGAGTTTGGGGGTAATTGCCCGAAACGTTTAGGAATTGGGGGCCAAAAATGGGCCAAAAATAAGCATTTTTCTAGTTTCCAGACAATAACTTGTGTTCAAGTGTATGGATCTCTCTGAAATTATACTGCAAGGTACCATACCACAAAGGGAAGGCTGGGATTGAGTTTGGGGGTGATGAATCATAAGGGGGTTCAAAAAATTTGGGGGGGGATTTTTTTTTTTTTTCTGTTTTTTTTTCTTTTTTTCCTTTTTTTTTTCTTTTAAAATTTTCCATTTTAAGTTGGTTATTTCTGATTAATATTTAAAAGCAAATAATAATGATATGGTAGGAGATACACACCAAACAGGATGTGTAAATTATTATCTAATAAGTATTGTGCAATAGCAAGAAATTTTCAATTGCACAGTATTGCACAATAGCAAGAAATCTTCAATTGCACAGTATTGCGCAATAGCAAGAAATCTTCAATTGCACAGTATTGCGCAATAGCAAGAAATATCCAATAGCACAATATTGCGCAATAGCAAGAAATTGTCAATTGTACAGTATTGCGCAATAGCAAGAAATATTCAATTGCACAGTATTGTGCAAAAGAAGATACTTCGTATAAATTGCTTATTTCTTGATCAATTTCAATGGGGTTTTATTCTTGAATTCTTGGGGTTCTTTAATATGCTGAATCTAACCGTGTATTAAGTTTTTGGATTTTGGGCCCCGTTTTTAAATTGGTCCACATTGAGGTCCAAAGGGTCCAAAATTTAACTTTGTTTGATTTCATCAAAAATTGAATTATTGGGGTTCTTTGATATGCTGAATCTAACCGTGTATTTAGATTCTTAATTTTTGGTTCCGTTTTCAAATTGGTCTACATTAAGGTCCAAAGGGTCCAAAATTAAACTTAGTTTGATTTTAACAAAAATTGAATTTTTAGGGTTCTTTGATATGCTGAATCTAAACATGTATTTAGATTTTTGATTATGGGCCCAGTTTTCAAGTTGGTCCAAATCGGGGTCCAAAATTAAACTTTGTTTGATTTCAACAAAAATTGAATATATGGGGTTCTTTGATATGCTGAATCTAACCATGTATTTAGATTTTTGATTTTTGGGCCCCGTTATCAACTTTGTCCACATTGAGGTCAAAAGGGTCCAAAATTTAACTTTGTTTAATTTCATCAAAAATTGAATTATTGGGGTTCTTTGATATGCCGAATCTAACCGTGTATTTAAATTCTTAATTTTTGGTTCCGTTTTCAAATTGGTCTACATTAAGGTCCAAAGGGTCCAAAATTAAACTTAGTTTGTTTTTAACAAAAATTGAATTTTTAGGGTTCTTTGATATGCTGAATCTAAACATGTATTTAGATTTTTGATTATGGGCCCAGTTTTCAAGTTGGTCCAAATCGGGGTCCAAAATTAAACTTTGTTTGATTTCATCAAAAATTGAATTCTTGTGGTTCTTTGATATGCTGAATCTAACCATGTATTTAGATTTTGGATATTGGACCATAATAGGTGAATGTCCAATTTAAAATTTTTAAGTTCTTAGACCACATTCATTCTGTGTCAGAAACCTATGCTGTGTCAAATATTTAATCACAATCCAAATTCAGAGCTGTATCAAGCTTGAATGTTGTGTCCATACTTGCCCCAACTGTTCAGGGTTCGACCTCTGCGGTCGTATCAAGCTGCGCCCTGCGGAGCATTTTATTACATCTGTATTAAATTAGTTTTTATTGATGTACTAGGAAGACATCGTCGAACTGTAAAATGGTACATTCGTGTGGGAAGGGAGAATATATTAAACAACTCGTGTAACAAAGATATTAACAACATTTTATTATTTTGATAACATCCTCAGGATAATTATACTTGCCGCAAATTAAAGAACATTACACGTAGTGCTGGTATTGCCTCGAAAAAAATGAGACTGACTTTTAAGATTCTTAGTCTCTCTATCAACAATGTTGCTACTATTTCCTTGTATCTGACTATCGTCCTGTGATACGACACTGATTTTTATGGTTGTACTGGCATCTTTATAAATATCATAATCTATAGTTTCAGTCGCACTTCCGTTAACTGGAAATTCATTTTTCAAAATTGTAAGAGAATGGAAAACATCTTCTGGTTCTGACAATAATTTACCATCCTCACCAAGAAGAAAGTATGTATGTAGCAAACCTTTTCCTTTTATTTCTATACATTGTCGGTCTCTGAATACATAGTGATCATCTTTGAGCAAACTGAGAAAAATAAAGAAAAAAGATATAGCAATGATAAAATTACATTGTTTATACACGAGTTAAAGAATATACAGGGTCTGCCAGACAGTAATACATCCCTCCCATAAAAAATATACAGGGTCTGCCAGACAGTAATACATCCCTCCTATAAAAATATACAGGGTCTGCCAGACAGTAATACATCCCTCCCATAAAAAATATACAGGGTCTGTCAGACAGTAATACATCCCTCCCATAAAGAATATACAGGGTTTGCCAGACAGTAATTCATCCCTCCCATAAAAATATACAGGGTCGGCCAGACAGTAATACATCCCTCCCATAAAAATATACAGGATCTGCCAGACAGTAATACATCCCTCCCGTAAAAATATACAGGGTCTGCCAGACAGTAATACATCCCTCCCATAAAAATATACAGGGTCTGCCAGACAGTAATACATCCCTCCCATAAAAATATACAGGGTTTGCCAGACAGTAATACATCCCTCCCATAAAAAATATACAGGGTCTGTCAGACAGTAATACATCCCTCTCATAAAGAATATACAGGGTTTGCCAGACAGTAATACATCCCTCCCATAAAAATATACAGGGTCTGCCAGACAGTAATACATCCCTCCCATAAAGAATATACAGGGTTTGCCAGACAGTAATTCATCCCTCCCATAAAAATATACAGGGTCTGCCAGACAGTAATACATCCCTCCCATAAAAATATACAGGGTCTGCGAGACAGTAATACATCCCTTCCATAAAAATATACAGGGTCTGCCAGACAGTAATACATCCCTCCCATAAAGAATATACAGGGTTTGCCAGACAGTAATTCATCCCTCCCATAAAAATATACAGGGTCTGCCAGACAGTAATACATCCTTCCCATAAAAATATACAGGGTTTGCCAGACAGTAATACATCCCTCCCATAAAAAATATACAGGGTCTGTCAGACAGTAGTACATCCCTCCCATAAAAATATACAGGGTCTGCCAGACAGTAATACATCCCTCCCATAAAAATATACAGGGTCTGCCAGACAGTAATACATCCCTCCCATAAAAAATATACAGGGTCTGTCAGACAGTAATACATCCCTCCCATAAAGAATATACAGGGTTTGCCAGACAGTAATTCATCCCTCCCATAAAGAATTTACAGAGTCTGCCAGACAGTAATACATCCCTCCCATAAAAAATATACAGGGTCTGCCAGACAGTAATACATCCCTCCCATAAAAAAACTTCTTTATAATACACTTGAGTGTTACAGACGATGAATAGTTTTATAAAAGAACCTTTAAACAATGTTAAATCAGTAGAATAACAAGTTTCAGTTGCGTTTGCTAATAAACATAAACCTGCACATAAATGAATTGATAAATGCTCTCAATAAACATACGTTTAACTATTTAATAAAGTCGATTATACAAATATTGAATGATGCCAGAAATTAATAAATACATTTTGTGTATAGTGCGGAAGATTTTGAATTAACACCTTTGGAAATAATCAGCAAAGAGAGTACTAGTATACTTCGCTGTCTCACTTCAAATTAACAGTATATTTTGTTCTTCCAGTGATTAAGATAAAAGGGAACGGATGTTGTAAAAAATGAGTAAATCCAACAAATAATTATATGTATGTCCCAGTCTTGAATATTATCATTGGTTGTAGCTATTTGTTAATCATTTGTCGATTGTCAATTTGCTCTTAGTTTCTGGTATTTTGACTGCTCTTTTGAATTAACTCGCAACCTTTCTAAAAAGGGTCGATTTAGATCTTCGTACAGTGTTAACGATAGGCTATCATTTCTCACAATGTGGTGACCTCTTAATGTTAATTTTGATCAACTTGGGTAGTTCGGTTACTATTTCATTGACGTTTACCGGAAATCTCCTATTATTCATATTTGAAGTAGAGACACCGAAAATAGATTTACTATACCTGTATGCTGTCGGGCTTATATGTATACGACCAGGTTCCCCATGACTTTCCATACGTGAAGCCGTGTTTACAGTGTCACCGAAAAGACAATACCTAGGCATTTTAACACCGACAACTCCGGCTACTACAGGACCACTGTGGATTCCAACACGTATCTAAAAACAAACCAATGTATATAACATTTGACTTTTTTATACGTTAATAATACATTAAAGTAAATAAACAAATCGAACAAAAGGTTACTTTTCAATATGAATATGTTAAGGGTCAATTGAAATGTATCAAAATCATTTAGTTCAATAATGATAAATGTTCAGTAAATTCCACAAAACAAACGTGAAAATAATAATTTAGAATGAAGCACAGCAGAGAATGACAATAATGCGAGATAACGATTGAAAATAATATATATATTTATAAAATCCCACAAAGGTCAACATTATAAATTAACTACAGTCTGTGAAAAAATAAACATGGAATAAAATACATAATAAAAAATCAATAATTTAAAATAGATTACTTGTAGAGGCTTTCCTGTAGCCGGTGATTTAACATTGCTGGCTTCTTTTACCATATCAATAGCAAATTTGGCAATCGGCTGTGCATGTACTTTCTTGGCCTCCGGTACTCCACTCACTACCATGTATGCATCACCTATGGTTTCAACCTAAAGTCAAATTTTTAAGTATGATTTATTCTGTATTTTTTATCAAATACTAACTTTAGAATATAAAATAAAATCCTATTTTGAATGAATTTATCAAACGTGATTGTATACACTTTACCATCTACCCAAACGTGTTTGTATACACTTTACCATCTACCCAAACGTGTGTGTATACACTTTACCATCTACCCAAACGTGTTTGTATACACATTACCATCTACCGAACGTGATTGTATACACTTTACCATTTACCCAAACGTGTTTGTATACACTTTACCATCTACCCAAACGTGTTTGTATACACTTTACCATCTACCCAAACGTGTTTGTATACACTTTACCATCTACCCAAACGTGTTTGTATACACTTTACCATCTACCCAAACGTGTTTGTATACACTTTACCATCTACCCAAACGTGTTTGTATACACTTTACCATCTACCGAACGTGATTGTATACACTTTACCATCTACCCAAACGTGATTGTATACACTTTACCATTTACCCAAACGTGATTGTATACACTTTATCATCTACCTACACGAGATTGTCCTTCATGATATTTGAAACGTAAAAAGAAAAACAATAATATTTTTAGTTGTCTTTGTTGAATATTTAGAATTGCAGATTGTGGGCTAGGAAACATTTGACATATGGTTTTAGTTTACGTCTATCATGAAAGGCTGTTGTATTTAAACCCGCTGCTGAATTTGTTTGCACCTGTCCTAAGTCAGGAATCTGATGTTCAGTAGTTGTCGTTTGTTGATGTGGTTCATGAGTGTTTCTCGTTTCTCGTTTTTTTATATAGATTAGACCGTTGGTTTTCCCGTTTGAATGGTTTTACACTAGTAATTTTGGGGCCCTTTATAGCTTGCTGTGCGGTGTGAGCCAAGGCTCCGTGTTGAAGACCGTACTTTGACCTATAATGATTTACTTTTATAAATTGTGACTTAGATGGAGAGTTGTCTCATTGGCACTCATACCACATCTTCTTATATCTATTATATAATCTTAACCGAACAACTCTTTTCCATTGTATGAAATAAATTCAAAGGCGTTATCTGTTGATTTCATGATAAAACGGATTTAGCATTTAGAATTGAAGAGTGTTAAATATGTTCTGGTACCTTATAAACGTCATGTTCACTAGTTCTGGCGTCAAATCTTTGATACAGTTCATTCAGCATCCTAACAATATCCAATGGCGTACAAGCTGACGCAATGTTAGTAAATGTCACTATGTCGCTGAATAGTACAGTAACATCGGCAAACTTTTCTGAAAAAAAAAATTATTGAATTTTTTACAATTGTAATTGGTCCAGCATGAAATTCGTTATTACTATGATTTATTAAATAAAATCTTCTTGCACAAAGATCTGATTCAGATGAAATTGCCCTGTGATGGTTTCTGTAATTTTATAATACACGACCCAGTGGTATAATAAGTTACGGTATAAGTCTTAATTCAATGATTGAGGTTAACGATTGATAGCCCTTAAAACTAAACGAATTAGGTATCAAATCAGCTATGCTTTTAAAATATCTGTGGGTGATGGACGAAGAATATATTTACATGTATTTGATCAATATGATATTTATGCAAATAACTCACCAGCTTTGACAGTTCTGCCGTTTTTTAATTCGTCAGCAACTTTTTGTGGTAACATTTGGAATAACAAATTGTCAGTCTTTTGTTTTTCTTCTGCTAAAAGGCGAGAAGTAACCTTCAATTCGGCTGTCGTTTCGTCCAGTTTTTTCCTTAAAAGAAGATATATTTTTATTTAGCCTAAGGACTAAGGACGACTTCTCAAAGGAGTTATTGCCCTAAAATGACAAATGTCACCATTTTTTTTTCCATTTTCGCCTATTATCATGAAATCTAGAAAAGATGTAGAGAAACTTTAAAAGCAAAAGTGATCAGCAAGACAAGATCTACAAATAAGTTACTTTGCCAGAATCATCAGATGACTTAAATTATACAAGATGTGCTCAAAAGGAGACAACCGAAATTTCAGCATTACAAACAGTGTTACAAGTTTTGTAAACACAGGCTGAGGCGGGTTGAGGCGACGACAATTCAGTCAAAATTGTGTGATTTTCTATTATTTTACCTGTTTTACATTTTACAAGTAACATTTGTTAGACAAAGCGGCATAAGTCAGACCTTAAAAGGTAAAAACTGTTTCTTGTTGGACGTAAATAATGAAAAAAATATATCAATTCTCCGTAAATGAAGAGAATAAGATAGTTTGAATAGTCAATTTATATTTTTGATCAGATATCTATTTAGTATCACTATTTTGTCTACTTACTGCTGAAATTGTTAAACATTTTCGTATTTTTTTCTCATGTTTCGAAGGATCTTAAAAAGTTTGTGAGGTTATCGAGTATAAAAATCATTTGAAAGGTATCGACATTAAGCATAATACAATAAAAATCATTGGTCACACAATTTCGAGGTATAACATTGAACTTACGTCAATATTCATATCAATAATTTACACGAATATTTTTTATTTTGATGTTTAGTTCACATTTTCAGTATTTTAAACTGAATTTGAATTATTTTCACATACAGCAAATTGGAAAATCTGGACATTAAAGGAGCAAAGGTGGTCTCATATTGATACGTAAAGTTGATATTCTATATAAATGCAGCTCATATCAAAGTCATAAAAGTAATGTTAGACATAAGCCATTTTAGTGAGCTTTTCTGATCACTTGGCGTCCGTCGTCTGTCGTATCGTCAACCTTTACAAAAATCTTCTCCCCTGAAACCACTTGTCAATGTTTAATCATTATTGAGGTATTCAGTTTAATAAATGGGGTTGATGACCAGGCCTGAAAACTAACATGGCCGACATGGTTAAAAATAATACATAGGGGGTAAAATGCTTGATTTGTCTTTTATTTTAAAAACAGCCATAAATAGAGAAAATCTGACATGGGCAGAAATGTTCAAAATGTTGAGCTCTACCTTTTGTTTATCTATGTCAAAACTCTCAAACGACTTCTCAATGGAGTTATTGCCCTAAAATGACAAATGTCACCATTTTTTTTTCCATTTTCGCCTATCTAGAAAAGATGTAGAGAAACTTTGAAAGCAAAAGTGATCAGCAAGACAAGATCTACAAATAAGTAACTTTGCCGAAATCATCAGATGACTCTTTATTAGAGTTATTTATCCGTTAACGACGATTTTTACCATGATTTTGCGTTTTTGCCTAATATCTTACAAAAATGTTCCTCTCTTAAACTACTTAGCCACAATCATTTTTAGGGTATTTAGTTTGAAAAATGTGTCCGATGACCCGGCCTGAAAACCAACATGGCCGACACGGCTAGAAATAGAAATAGAACATAGGAGTAAAATGTAAGTTTTGTCTTTTTTCTTGACAATCGCTTTGAATAAAAGAAATTCTGACTGGAGGCAGGAATGCTCAGTGTCCCCTTCAGTATTTTGAGATCATTCTGCTGTCCATTCACGTCAAACATGTCAGACGTTTTCTTATAGGAGTCATTGCCCTAGAATGTCAAATTTGACCATTTTTTTCATGTTTGCCTATTATTTTAAAAACTATAATAGATAGAGAAAAATTTTAATTAGGAAAAAAGATCTATAAAAATTCAAATGGCTGAAATCGTCAGAGGACTCGTTATTGAAGTTATTACTCTTTAATGACGATTTTTACCCATTATTTTGCATTTTTTGACTGTTATCTTGAAAATTATAATAGATATATTGAAAGTTTGAATAGCAAAAATGACCAGCAAGACAATTTCTACAAATAAGCTGTCTTTACTTAAATTTTAAGTCGACTCGTTAATTAAGTTATTGCCGTTTTAAGATGATTTTTACCAATTTTAAATTTTTTTTGCCTATTATCTTGAAAAGTATAATTGATACAAATATAGACAGAAACTTTATAAGGAAAAAATATATCGGGAGGACATGATGTACAAATATGTCAACATGACTGAAAATGTCAGTTACCTTTTTGTATTAAATACACCTATGAGGGAGTTAGCCCGAATTTTGTGTATATAATTTACACCAAGATAGTATTGTCAATGCAGAATGATCGTTTCCAATAATTTAGGAGGGGTCTTTCAGCGATTTGATCATATTTTATTGAAAAGTAAGATAATGCAGGGTATACAGTTTCATTTAACGACATCTTGGTGTTAATAGAGTTATTGTCTTTTCATGATGATTTTTACCAAAAAGTGGTCATTGTTGAAGATGCAGGTGAGCGACACAGACTCTTTAGAGCTTCAACGTATTAAACCAATCATGGACCCTTATCACGCAAAATACATTAACATCATTTAGGACAAGTGATAACAATGCAAATTTAACCATTATTCTTAATGACAAGAACTAATTCAAAATTGATAATGTAGTATGAGAAGATGGGTTATAAGTTATATTTCCAGTACTATTTAGGACATGTAACTCAATTACAAGACTGGGCGTGGAGATATTCGAGTCGTGACATTTAAGTATCTTCAGCAGATGTTACAGTAAGTGTTTATATGGTCCCTTTTACGTGACCCTTAAATATACGTACGCTATGTCAATCTCAGCAATTCTCTGTTGATTAAGAAGAATTAACTCCCTTGTTACATCATACAACGGTATATCTGACAAATAAATATTGAGTTGTTTCAGTTCCATTAAACTTGAAAGTCGCGGTGAACAAACATACATCATCAAACGTAAATCATCTATCCAAATCATTTGACCTACAAAAACATACATACATCATCAAACGTAAATCATCTATCCAAATCATCTGACCTACAAAAACAAACATACATCATCAAACGTAAATCATCTATCCAAATCATTTGACCTACAAAAACAACCATACATCATCAAACGTAAATCATCTATCCAAAGCATTTGACCTACAAAAACAAACATACATCATCAAACGTAAATCATCTATCTAAATCATTTGACCTACAAAAACAAACATACATCATCAACGTAAATCATCTATCCAAATCATTTGACCTACAAAAACAAACATACATCATCAAACGTAAATCATCTATCCAAATCATTTGACCTACAAAAACAAATATACATCATCAAACGTAAATCATCTATCCAAAGCATTTGACCTACAAAAACAAACACAACTAAGCAATAAGTAATTAACGTTATGTGACAAGAAGAAGTTAAAACCATGATTATCAGACTATTTAATGAACTAATCAATAGATTTTTTTGCAACACCATGATTATGGAATTTTTGTGTAATAGAGGACCAATGATTCGCATGGTGCGTCAAATCAAAGCAACAACCGACGCATTCGTTTCTATCACGGATTTGTTTATGTCTTACCGCAATTTATGTCTAGGTTAGTCTATGGAAAGGTATATATACTATGAAATTTAGAGCGAGGGGCTTGCCCCGAGCTCTTAATTTCATAGTATTTACCTTTCCATAGACTATCCAATTTAGCACATATTTACAACTCGAGTAATCTTTTAATTGGTCTATTTTGGCTGACTACTTGTATCAAAGGTGTTTGTAAAACGGAGCTCATTAACGAATTTTGTAAATCTACTCACTAGTATCATTGTAAAATATGTGATTTCAAAAGGCCCTTCACTCCAGAATGAAAAGATGGTAGCTGCTGGTGTAAGTATGTATACTGATATAAAGCGGTGTTTTACTATACATGTTCTTCTTACAAGGTAAGATGACAAAATAAATTGACCAAAAGCAGGCAATAATTAAATTGCAGTGGAAGCTTTACATGTTTTCAAAACATTTTTTAATTTCACTGTAAAACTAAAGCTATATTAAATTTGAAACATATAGATAGTTTGTCCCCAAAGATATAGTCTAGCAGATAGGCATTAAAAAGCAACTACAAATAGATCAGAGATTATAGGTTTTGTGTTTTTTTTTTTTTATTAGTTCAAAGTAAAAACTAAAAGATTTATCAGAATATGTTTATATATATATATATATATATATATATATATATATAGGTGGCACATTATCTTCAGACATAATCACAGTTTTTCAATTCATGACATCGTCCTGAACATGCATGAAATATTTGCCACTGGACATTAAGCAACCAATAATCAATAAACCAATCAATTCATGACGAAATAGATCACTTTCCTTAAGAAAGTTTAAAAAATTATCACCAAGTTGCTTTAATTTTCCTTCACAAGGTTTCATAGTACACACTTTTCTGTGTACAAAGTAATTGCATGGATGATACATTATCATAATTTTAAGATATCGTTGTACTCTAATCAAGGTATAAAGAACCATATGTATTACCCTTTATTTAAATGATAAAATTTGCAATTGTCAAAAACATTTTTTAGATCCAAAGATTTTAATAGCAGGATATTTAAAAATCAATGTGAAAACTAATTACAAACTATTTAATTTAATTTGGAACACAGCATTTTATTTCAAAATAGCCAGTGGCAATTTTTGTTTTAAATATCTTGATTACGATACAATGAAATCTTACCCTTGTGGTCATTCATGCGTAGTTACTTAGTACACAGGAAAAGTATGTACTATGAAAATTAGAAGGCAAATATAAGCAATTTGATTGGACGAGAAGTTGTAAGTATGTGCTAAATAAAATAAGGAGATGCGGTATGATTGCAAATGTGACAATTATTAACTAAAGTCCAAATGACGTGGATTTAATCAACTATGGGTCACCGTACACTATTCAACATCGAGTAATATACTGTATAGTCCGCTTCGAAAAGTTCAAGAATTCAAACCAAAAAAAAAAAAAAAAAACACAACTGCCTGACTTATGACAAAATAAATAAATGAAAAACAAATATGACAAACAGCAACCAACATGTTTATTTCATTAGATTTCACATGTTAAGTAGAATGGCTTACCTTGTTTGATAATCTGTGTTCATTCCTTGCTATAAATTGTGTTCAAGTTGCAATGGTTTGAACTTTGATTACTTTTTAGTTTAACGATTTTGATTGAATATTTGTTATATTGCCAAATTTGCTATTATATGCTAAATATCTGGTTGTACACAAACAAACTGGCAAAATATGAGGGATATTGGCGTTAAGGCTAGAAAAATTAGAATATATTTTTGAAGTTACTATTACATGCTAAATATCTGGTTGTACACGAAAAAAACTGGCAAAGTATGAGATATATTGGCGTTAACGAATATCTTTTGAAGTAGAAGCTTCGGGCATATTTCTTAAAATAAAAGTTTTCAAGTCCTAAAAATATCTAAATGATATATTTCAATTTGATTTTCAACAAATGAAGATGCTGACAGTTGCTGAAATCGGTATTCATTAATAAAGGATCTGCCGAAAAATGATATACAGTTTTACTTTGATAATCAAATATAATTTCTATTTACATACTTTTCATTTAATCACTTATAGGAAAAAACGAAATCGTTACAAAAGTGAACGAAAGGAACGAAAAAAAAAAATACTTGATATAATTTTAAAAATGAGTAAGATGCACTTTTGATTTCGAATGTTACATATACAGATCTTCAAGAGAAAACAAAATGAGTCTAAAATTAATTTATAAGCAGAATGTTCCAATTTGTATCATATCTTATTATTAATTATAGAATGAGTCACAACCGCAATAATTATTTAATTATTAATGGGTTGTTCCTACGTTTCTGCATAGAGAATTTACTGACTTTATGATGTGTCGCGAGCTTACAGCACAAAAGCTAATAGTTCATGTGATTGTATATCTTACCTCGTAGAAAAAGTCTTGTTTCTGCATTTTTGCTGTTCTTAACTCCCAGATAGAATACACTATTGATAAACGTCAATATATTTTCAAGCTTAAATTTCATTGGAGGATGGGTGATATCAAACAATGATGTCATTGAAGTATTTGCCTTCAAGCACTGGTGTAATATTTTTGGAATCATGTCACCGCATTGTTTGATTTCTAGATTTTCATCAAAGACAATATGGTATGGAAATGCTTTACAAAAGTGACCATTATTTAAAGAAGTTTGACTGCCATTCGATTGAAAAACATTCATACTGTTATCTGATATCTTCTTGTTATCGATATCTTTGAGTTTTACCAGAAATGTCACGTGTTCTTGGTCTAGTCCACCTTCTATTTGTTGTTTTGATATGCTTATAACTTCCATTTCTGCTATTTGATTGTAAATCTCTCTTGCTACAACTTTTACGACACCTGTTAAATATTAATAGAATATCGGAATTAAATATAAACAAAGTTATACGTTCTTGCCCGTAACAGTTATCTATTTTTATTTAATTTTCGTTTATTATCAATGATAAGGAACAAAGCTTGGTTGTCGTTTGTTGTTGTATATGTCATATTCATATTTCGTTCATTGTTTTTTTTACATAAATCAGGGCCCGTATGCATAAAGCTACTTAAGTTAAGATTTTCCTTAGTAAACACTTAAGTTAAGGAAACTCCGCCCTTTTTACGTAAGTGGTATGCATAAAAAATCTTAAACTAAGTATTTCCTTAGTCAAATCTTAGTTGTTTTAGGTCACGCCCACAAAACTTAAGTGGTATGCATAAAACCCCTTATACTAAGAAAACGCCTAAGATTATACTTAAGTCTAATGTACCTATAGAGCTACCTTAAATTTAAAAAAATAGTTAAAAATCAGTCGAAAGTATGGGTTTTTTGCAGAATATTAATAGATTAGCTACCGTTTAATAATTAATAGTTATATCAGTAATATTTCGTTCATCGGTTCAATATTTTCAATTATTTTGTTTTATTCTAAAGATGTAAGGCAAATTGTTTCACTTACTGGAACAAAATCGGAAAGTTTTAAGACCTACCCCATGGAATTCAAAGTGTATATAACGTATTTATGATACCCAAACCGTATTAAATTAGTTTTCATATTTCCTTATTATATTAAGTGATATATTGCTGTAAACGAAAATATTGTTAGTACGCTAAGATGTTGATAATACCTTACCATAAACATATGAATATAGTTGTTAACCTCTATGTCATTTTGGTGTTTGGTGGAGAGTTGTCTCATTGGCAATTATACCACAGATTTTTATTTGTATATTTGTTGCTTTAAATTGAAAGTCCGGATACAAGTATTATCTTTCGAAATAGCGTGTTTGCTTCAGCATTTATTTAATATGAGCAGAAGTGCGTTACTAGAAGTGTGTTCTTGTTCTGGTAGAGGTTTGGGACTTCAGTTAAGGAAGATTTAGAATGCAGTTTAGGTGGGGACTGTCTATTGCTTCGAAAATTTTATATTAAATGTAATGAATCTTGATTAATATGTTGTTTTTAACAGATAACCGCGAAATTATGATTGCTGTATTGAAGACTACCCTACACGGTCATTTGTATAATAATCTGTGTAATCTTCTCTTTGCGTACACAACTATATCAGTCCTATTCAGGACCGATAACTCTGTCGATAAATATTGGCGGGTATACAATGTTGAAATGTATGCAATAACAATTTTTTTGTTTACAACTTAAAATTTCAATATTGATTTTTTTAATGCCTGGATTTTGCATAAAACATTGAATTAAAAAAATGAATGACAAAAAACATATGCAATGAAGTCGCGTTTAATTTTCTATGAAATAAAACAATCTATTAAATAAAAAATTTCAATTAGAGAATTTTTTTAAACATTTATCGTGAAACATAAACATTTGGTTATTTTATTTAAGCAAACATCAACATATCGAAGAATTGTTCATAATATTCATATTTTCTTAAAGTTCTGTATGGTATATATTTCTTCGGTAGTGTACACGGGAAAGGGAATTATATATTTTAGAAAACTTGTGTATATCACTTAAACTTAGGTTGGTTCCCTCCGTAAAATATCCAGTATGCCTTCGGAATATACAAATATTAACGGTCGGTATGAGCTAATGATGGCCTTGAACTTGAACGTTTCGGTTCCCGGTTTGTCGAACGTCCACATACGGTACCAGTTGAAAATGGCGTTAAACGTCAGACTGAAGTCGGATCTTGATTGAAACAAAATTAACATAAAATAAAATATACCAAACTCATTGATTCTTGGGTAAATAACAGGGGGAAACATGCTTATAAACAACAAAGAAAAATAGATTGTCGACTGTTTTTCTCATTCCATATTGCATATCCATGAACCATGAATTGTACGGGCTTATCATAAGGCGAATCGCCGATGATATATAGGGTTTGGGGATACAACATTAGGCTGTTGTTTGATATAAACGAGTAGGTGGCTAGTTTCCTAAATCGCTGTTATTTTGAAAGTCTCGCTTTTATTTCTTAGATGACACATTCCACGTTTCCACGTTTTACACCCCCCACCCCCCCCCCCCCCCCAAAAAAAAAAAAAATTATCCCACATCCCCACTTTTTATTTACCCTATCCCATATACCAAAAATTGTTTTGTGATTTGAATATTTAAATGGTGCTGATTCATATTTTTACAGAAGGGTAGTGTCAAAATAGTCTCTTCCTAGTATTGAAATAAGTAAAAAATCTCTGCGCCCCTTTTATTAGTTTTAACTGGTGTATTGTAGGTTTCTTAGTCCCAGAAATTATGAAGCCTGTTCTTGTTTTGAAGCATCCTACCTAGACAATTATAAAGTACATGTAATTTTTTCAACTTCCAAACCTTATTACAGTGCATTATTTTTATGCCCCATTTATGGGCAATATCTTTTTCGGTCTGTGCGTCCGTTCATTCGTCCTTTCGTTCGTTCGTTTGTTCGTTTGTCCGTCCGTCCGTCTGTCCCGCTTCAGGTAAAAGTTTTTCAGGTTAAAGTTTTTGGTCAAGGTAGTTTTTGATGAAGTTGAAGTCCAATCAACTTGAAACTTAGTACACAAGTTCCCTATGATCTGATCTTTTTTATCCTAATTTCACAGTCCACTGAACATAGAAAATGATAGTGCGAGTGGGGCATCCGTGTACTATGGACACATTCTTGTTATTATTTGATTTTATGTATGCTTATCAAAAATGATCTTGATCCCTTCTGTCTTTCCTTTCACCATCTTAAGTTGGAAAGATATAAAGGTGAAGCTAGATCATTATTTTCTTAATATAGGGTTGTTTGTCACATACTGTTTCTAAAGTTTGCATCAATGACCAAATTATCAGAAAATAATCAATTAAGGCATTGCTTTTTATTGGCTTCCCACTGTTGGGCTCGCTATGGCAAAATTGGGATGCCCCTACTCACCATGACCAACAATATTGAGTCCATTGTTTGCCTATAAAATTCTTAATGAGTACCAAATGTTACATTCAGTTTTTACTTTTACTGCACATTAACCAATATGAATTATTTAATATACATGATTGGGGACTGTGTTTTAAGCTAACAGTTACCTTTGTAGCTATTACACCCAAGTTTTGTCCTGATACTCTTGGCATTAACAATAATTGTTATTGAAGTTATGTGCATTAAACCAGAGATGAATTTATGAATAGGAAATCAATTGCAACTAGTTAAGTTTAAAATGACTTGGGTCCAATGGCCCTTTCATCACGGCTGCAATATTGTCTCATTGCCATAGATTAGCAAATAACGGCGGTTTTCACCTCATTCCTCTTTTAATCACCTTTCTAATATATCATCAACAATTTCACCTTTAAATAAATCATCAAAAATTATTATTGTTTTTCCTTGTTCTATTTAGTGATCATCCCATTGGTAGCTGCACATGTACTGTGCATTTTTTTTTTGTGTTTGTTCTAGTATTATGACACATGGTGTAGATCTGCGAAAGAGGAGTTGTGTGTGCGAACATAAAACCTTAGATTGTGTCTATACCAAGTGAGGCTTTCTGGACCTTAAGTTGTTTGTCATTGTTTGTACAGTATCATATGTTTTTTCTTAAGTCTGGTATATGTTGTTGAAATTAAAATCCTATCAAAACACATGTTTCCCAAAATTTACCATCTTTTCACATAAAATAAGGTTTTACCACACGTTTGACCCCTGGGAACAATTAAGGATGGCCTAAATAAATTGAACCTATAAATCGGTTTTGTTAAATTCCAGCGCAAGAAGATATTTCTCACAATTTGAGATTTTAAACAAGAAGTAAGTTTATACCAATTTTATTTTAAATTTGTTTTCCAATTTTTGAAATACTTATCTACACTTACATATCAATCCTTGTTGAAATCTTAGCATAAGAAGACAATTTCATTGTATCCACCAATTTAACCACAAATCTTGCACCAAGATTACATGGAAAAGAATATTATAGTATACATTTTACATAGATCTTGAGCTTTGTTGTAATTGAAGCAAAAAGTTGTTTGTTCAAATCTGTAAAATTTTCAACAAAAGCAGGAGGATTTGTTTTGGATCGGTTATTTATTTTTGTAAACTAAGAGGACAGATTATCTATTTTCTGCACTATTGAAGCAAGATTTTTCATTTTCATTAAAGCAAGGGACTGATTATTTATTTTCACAACTATATTTATAATATTCGAAAACATAAAATTTTTAAATTATTTGTTTATTATAAATAATTCATGTATAGTCAAGTCATTATGTACCATTTAATCAGAATTAATTATTATCCTCTGCAGAAATGAATCTTTAATATCCCCCAATGCATATACATGTATTGCATACATACACAGTATTAAAGTTTGGTTGAAACTAAGGCTCTTCTAAAAGAATTGGCAAACATGTTTCGCCGAGCGGAGCGAGGGAAAATTTTTTTTTAAGGGTTTTTGAACCGCTGAAGGCCCAAGAAGCTATAGAACAAATGATGCAAAATCATGCCTTCTGGGTGTTCCCTAGACCCTTTCTTAAACTGAAAATGCAAGTTCTGTTTTAATAATTTTATGACAATATTTTGGTCTCAAAGCAAAATCACGTTATAGATTCAGTGTAAGACTTAAGTTTCTAGGAACAACATCAAAAGACAAATATGCATGATATTAAAAGCAAAAAAGTAATTCACATAGTTAAGTCTGTGGCTGCTGTGTTTTTTTAAACTCATGATCAAGTTAATAATAAAATTACTAAATTACAAAATGAATGCAACACTAACAGAATACAGAAGGGCAATCAATGAACAAAAGACAAATAAATAAGAAACATTGATCCCGAAAAATCAGGGGCTACGTCTGAGGGAGAACAGAACTTGCTTCTTGCAAGGCACTCACGGTGAACACAAT